AGATGGGGTGCGGGGGAAAGGGGGTGCAGGACTGGGGAGAGGGAGAGTTGGGGGTGTCGGGGGGAGAGGGAGGGAAAGGCAAAGGGAAAAGGAAGGGGGAGAAGATGGGGTGCGGGGGAAAGGGGGTATAGGGGGGCAGGAACGGGGAGAGGAGGAGTTGGGAGGGTCGGTGGGAGAAGGAGAGGAAGGGAAATGGGGGAGCAAGGCAGGGTAGGAGATGGAAAAGAGGATGTGGGGGTCAGGAATGGGGAGAGGGGGATTTGGGGGTGTCAGTGGGAGAGGGAGAGGAAGGGAAAGGGAAAGGAAAAGGGGTCCGTGGAAGGGGGTGCAAAGGGGGATCACGGGGGGTGGGAGTTGGGGTACAGGGGAAAGGGGGTGTGTGAGGGAGCAGGAACGGGGAGAGGGAGTTGGGGTGCTGATGGGAGAGGGAACGAAAGAAGGGGTGCACGGAGGGGGGTGCAAAGGGGAGGGCAAGGGGGAGTGTGGGTGCCTGGAGGTGAGGGGGTGCAGTGCAAAGTGGGGAGCAGAGAAATGGAAGGGAGCTAAGGCAAGGCTGGCACCGGGAGGGGAAAGGCAAGAAGGGATGCAGAGAGACGATGGGGGTGCAGGAATCAAAGGCACCCCAATGCAAGGGCGGGGAGTTGCCAAAGGAAAGAAGGAAAACGGGATCTGCGAGCAGGTGCCTGCTGCTGGAAGGGAGCAGAGAGGTGACACAGCACTGCACCGTGCCCAGCAGTGTGTGGGTGGCAGGGAGATGGAGGGCTGCACAGCCCAGGCACCCTGTGGGGAGTCAGACGGGGTTTGTGGGGCTGGCAGAGCACCTTGGCTTGTCAGGAAGAGCCCAGCAGCCACCTCTGTGATTGCTCCTTGAAGAGGCGCAGCCGTGGTCTGCGTATCACTGGGAGCAGGAGAGCTGCGGGGTGGTGGGGTTTGTGGGACACGGAGGGGGCTGGTGGGCACTGGCTGCTATTCTGGCCCAGCCTGGAGCTGTAACCCCATCTGTGCTCGCTGGAACGGCCGTGCCCTTGGCCCCGGTCACCAGCCGAGTCTGAGTCACCAGGAAATCTGATAAGGCTCCAATAAAACCACTGGAGTAGCGTTGAGGGGGGGTTTGCTTGGCACTGTGTGGCCGGGCTCAGCCGCCCTGATTTCTTGGCTCTGCTCCCGACATCCTGAGTGTCATATGTGTGTGTGATTAGAACAGTCCAGACCAGTGGGAGTTTTGACCTGGTTTAGCTAAACTTCAGAAGCTAAGGGGCCTTTTGGTAAAGATGCAGTCCCTAGTCCTTGGGGGGGCAGTGTGTGGGGAAGGCACGGGCTCTTTTTCCATGACATGTGGCAGCTAAACCTCGAGCCTTGAAGGTTACGCCTGTTGGTTTGCATTGGTTACATTCTTAATTCAAGACGGCATCAGTTCCCAGAGCGCCGGTGCTTGGAAGGCTGCAGGGAATGCAGCCCTTCCCGGCAGGCAAGAGGGGAGCCCAGCAGCCCCTGCTGCAGCTCCTCGGTGGAAATCATCCCCAAACAGTGACCCATCAATTAAAGCGAATCATCAGCCCCAGCAGGAACCAGCTAGGTGTGTCAATTCCTCTCTTCCGCTTGGTTATGTGCTGGATATTCAAATTAATCTGTTTTAGCAATTAGACAAGAAATCCTGAAGCGTTTTCTCCTTTTGAAAGGGCTTAGTCATAACTGGGTGAGAAGCCTGAGCTGAGGCGATGCGGTTGGTACACTTTGGGTTGAGGCAGGACTGTGCACTGGCAGCGAGAGACTCGCTGAGGCGAGAACACGGGGGCTGGTTTGCTTTCAGAAACAGTTCCTGGAAGCTAAAACAGGTACAATGTTCCCATGAAATAACTGGGTCAGGTTTTTCTACCTCCTCGTGCCTGGATCAGTCGGCAGCCAGGGTGGGTAGGGCTGGATCTTTCGGTACGTGGCTGTTGTGCGTTTGCCAGAGGGGACTGAAGCATCAAATGAAGTCCTTGCTGCTTTGGTAGCAGGTTCCCAACTGGCTGGAGACTGTTGAACTCTGCAAAAAATTCCGGTTGGTGCAGATTCTTGACAAGGAGGAAGAATTTCCATCCCTGGAGGTGTCCAAGGCCGGGGCTTGTAACAAGCTGGTCTAGTGGAAGGTGTCCCTGGATAGTCTTTACAGACCATCCAGCCCAAACCATTCAGTGATTCTGATTCTATATTCCTGCTTCCTTTGGATCAGGAGATGAAAATCTGGAGATACCCAGTTAAACCTGTGTTGCCATCAGCAACATCAGCCATCAGCCATCAGCCATCCATCAGCACTGCAGCACTCTGACAGTGGCAGATACCCCCATCAGAGCCTTGGGGCTGGACCTGCCTTGAGGCTTCATCGGTTCTTTGTGTCTTCTTTGTGTTAGAAGAGGACTCCAGTTACCTCCAGCTTGTCCTGGCCCAGCTGAGGTGCTCAGAGTGACTCGTGGAACACTATCCTTGCATTGGGAGGGAATGTAATTAGAATTAAGCTCCTTAGTCTGGGAAGGGCACGGGGTGTAAAAACTGAACTTTATGTGCATGTTGTGGGTTGTTTTACACTGAATTTTCTTTTTTTTTTTTCCCTGCGTGTAGCATAGATTGAGGATAAAAAAGGAGACAGATTTATTGAAAGTGTTAAAAATGCCTTCTGAATTAAATTGTTTTCCTTCAAACATTGTAAAAAGGGGCAAGGCCAGCTCTCAGGCAGTTTTATTCCTTGCTCCCTGTAACTTTCCTTAAAACCCACGCCCTGTTCCATGAGGATACTTCCGCAGGTGCAGGAGCTGAGGTGCTGGGAGAACACCTTGTTTCCATTCCCCAACTTCGAAACTGCAGCAGGAAGCTTCAGCTCTGACATCCTGAACAGCAAGTCCTCCTTGTCTCCAGCCCTGTTATTCCCGTCTGTCACCAGCTTGAAAAAAAAAATCAGGCTCCTGCGCCCCAATTTTCTCTCCATCAGCAAGAAAAACTTCCATGTCAAGGGCATCCAAAGCCTGCCCGATTTTCTCTGTGGAGCTTTAGATGCCCATGGGGATGGTATCTGAGAAGAGAAGATAAAACCCTTTTGTAAGGATGGTGGTGATGGATCCCAATTATTATTTGTTTAATTAAAAGACTCTGGGCCGATGCAGAGGCAACAATTAACAATTATCTTCTGTAAAGAACTTTGGCAACAGCTGCATAAGTTAATGTATTATGAGATGGAGACAAATCATTGCAGCTCTGTCATTTACGAGGGTGGAGGTGTAAGGGAGAGTCCTCAGGCTTCCACATACTGTCTGATTTAAGGGGCTTTTCCTCCTTCTGTTGGAATAAGCAAGTAGCAATTTTCTTCTGTCGTGCAGCTGGGATTATCTGGGAGCCAGGGAATTAAGATCTAAATGAAAATTTATACTATTCATTACACTTTATTAATAGACTTCGGGGACGTTTAATTGTGGAAATAAATTATAGAGGGATGAATTGGTAAGTTTTGATTTGTTTTATGCACACCCCCTTTTTGGGAGGGTTCGTTAAGATAATTGGGACTAGAGGGGACACCAGCCTTGCCTTCATCCCAGGCCCGTCCCCACAGTCTGCAGGGCCAGCGAAGGACAAGGCAAAGGGAAGGGTTTTGCAAACACTGCCACCCCCTGGCTCTTCCCATGGAGTTTTATTTTCCAGAAACCCCCGAGCTTTGTGCTGCCTGGGCGAGCTGCTTCTCGCACACTCCCCTTTGACAAGTTGTGCTGGAAAGAGCAAGCGCTGGGATGGGTTTTTCCGCAGGGGCTTGGTCACAACTCGCTTCCCGTGGAGAGGTCAGAGAATCACAGAATATCCTGAGGAGGCCACTGAGATGATCAGAGGGATGGAGCAGCTCTGCTGTGAGGAAAGGCAGGGGGAAATGGGATTGTTCAGGGTGGAGAAGACTACAGCGTGACCTAATTGTGGCCTTTCAGTATGAAGGGAGCTGTCAGGAGAGATGGAGAGAAACTATTGACAAGGGACTGGAGTGACAGAACAAGGGGGAATGGCTTCAAACTAAAAGAGTAGGTTTAGATTAGATTTTAGGAAAAAATTCCTCCCTGTGAGGGTGGGAAGGCCCTGGCACAGGTTGCCCAGAGAAGCTGTGGCTGCCCCTGGATCCCTGGGCTAGTGGAAGGTGTCCCTGCCCATGGCAAGGGTAGAACTGGATATTCTTTAACATCCCTTCCAACCCAAACTGCTTTGGGATTATATGATTCTCCTGACCTGAAAGGGACCCACAAGGATCATCCAAGTCCAACTCCAGGCCCTGCACAGACACCCCAACAATCCCACCCTGTCCAAACCCTCCTGGAGCTCTGGCAGCCTTGGGGCTGTGCCCACTGCCCTGGGGAGCCTGGGCAGTGCCCAACTACCCTCTGGGGGAAGAACGTTTCCCTGATATCCAACCTGACCCTGCCCTGACACAGCTCCAGCCCTTTCATGAGTCCTGTCCCTGCTCACACAGAGCAGAGATCGGAGCTGCCCCTTGGGAGGAATAGAACCATGGAATGGTTTGGGCTGGAAGGGCCCTTAAAGCTCACCTCATTCCACCCCCTGCCATGGGCAGGGACACCTTCCACTAGCCCGGGTTGCTCCAAGCCCCGTCCAAGCTGGCCTTGGACACTTCCAGGGCTGGGGAAGCTGCAGACCCCAATGAGGTTTCCCTTCAGCCTCCTGGACGAACCGAGTGATCTCAGCCTATGGCTTTCCCTCGAGACTCTTCACCACCCTCGCAGCCGAGTCCACACCTCGAGCTGCCCGTGATGCTGAGAGAGCCCAGATACAGTGAGAGCTTCAAACCCGCCCAGGCTTGGGGAACGGGTGGGTTGTTATGGCCGCCATCACTCTTCGACTACAGCTCCCAGCAGACCCTTCGCGCCGCCGAGATCCCGCCTCCTCGCACCGATTGGCGCATCCCTCAGGAAGAGCTTTCTCCCTTCCCATTGGCTCAGCGAGCTGTCAATCCCGGCCCGGCGGCGCGCAGCGAACGGTGCGCTATTCACGAACAGCACTTACGCCGTTTGCGCAGCGGCCGGGGCGTGGCGCCGCGTGGGGGGCGGTTGCGCAGTTGGCGTGGCGCATGCGCGGTGCGCGGCGGCGGGGTTGGGGGGGGCGCAGCGGAGCCCCGGACAGCTGGCGGGGGTAAACAGGGCCGGGGGCGGGGGGCACGGCCGGGGGGCCCTCGGGCACCCCCTGCGCTCCGTCCCGTCCCGTCCCGCTCGGGCCCGCATGGATGGAGCCTCGCTGCTGCCCGCTGCCCGCCGCGTTCGCGCCCGGGAGGCCTGACAGGTAACGGCCCCCCCTGCCCCCCTCCCGCGGGCCAGAGGGGCCCCCCTACCCTGTCAGCCGCCCCCTCCTGTATCCCCTTCCCTGTCAGCCGCCCCCTCTCTGTGCCCCCTTCCTTGTCGTCTGTCCCCGCTATGCCCTCTTCCCTCTGAGCTACAGCCCTCATAGCCCCTTCCTTGTCAGTCGCCCCCCCCCGTGCCCCCTTCCCTGTCATCTGTCCCTGCCGTGTCCCCTTCCCTCTGAGCTACACCCCCCATAGCCCCTTCCCTGTCAGCCACACCCCTGTGCCCTCTTCCCTCTAAGCTACAGCCCCCATACCCCTTTCCCTGTCAGCAGCCCCCGCACCCTGTCAGCCCTGTACCCCCTTTTCTCTGAGCTACACCCCCTCATACCCCTTCCCTGTCAGCTGTACCCCCTTCCCTGTCAGCTACACCCCCCGTGCCCCCTGCCCTGTCAGTGGCACCCCCTTCCCACTGCTCCCTGTGCCCTCTTCTACCTGCCCTGTACCCTCTTCCCTTGAGCTATCCCCCCCTTCCCTGTCTGCCACACCCCCTGTGTCCCCTTATCTATCAGCTTTCCCTCCTCTCCCTTTCCTGACATTTCCCCCCCACCCTTGTCTTTCCCATCAGTTACCCCACCCCAGGCTCTGTCAAGTGCCCCCCTATCTCCCCCCAGGTGTTACCTCCCTTCTCTTTGCCAGGAGCAAACCAATCCCAGTTTTCCCCAGCCCCTCATCCCAGTTTTCCCCAGCCCCTCATCCCCGTTTTCCCCAGACCCTCTTCCTGCCCTCTCCTCCCCATTCCTGCATCCTCTGGCAGGCACCCAGCCCCTGCCAGGTGCAGCCCCTGCTTTTTGGCTTCCCTTTCCCCCTCCTACACCTGGCACTGCCCTGTCCTCACCTCCCTCTCCCCTTTCCTAATTGTGACCCTGCCCTGCTCCCTCCTCTGCTCACCATCCCCTCTCTAAACCCTTCACAGAACCTTTCCCTGCCCCTGGTGGGGGTCCTGCAGCCCCTTTCCCTGGAAGGGGGATCAGCCTTTCCTCCTCTGCCAGCTGAACTCCTTCCTGGAGCTACTGGGCCGTGTGGGTCTGGGCATTGGGATGGTGCTTGTGCTGGGTGAGGTGTTGTCTGGCATCTTTCTGTTATCCCAGTGGATGTGTGAGCTGGGGGATGAAGGGGAGAGGTAGGATTCCAGTTGGAGGGCTGAGCTGGAAGCACTGTATGTCTCTGGGCTATCTGAGTTTCCCTGACAGTCCCCTCGTGCTGAGTCTGTCAGGGCTCAGGTCCCACTTCTCCTCACTCTCTCCATGTTCCATGTCCATCTGTCCTGGGGACCTCCTGGCAACTCCTTCAGCTGGAGCAAAACCTTCTTTTAGCAAGGTGTTTGCTGCTAACCAGGTCATTCCCTCTTGGTTTTCCAGGTTTCTTAAAAAAACCCAACCATAAATGTACCTATCTCCATGTGTTTTAATTTGATCCATGACCTCTTGGGAAGTCAAGGTAAAGAGGGCAGAAAAATTAAGTTGTGAGGATAAAGAAGCTGCATGAGTTGTGTCCTGACTGGTGTTTGGGTGGGTGAAATAATTTGTAGATGCTGAAGGGAAGGGTCTTGGGAATGTTCCTTGGGGATGAGCCGTGCATCCGCAGGGCTCGTGGTGTGCAGAGTGCTGCTTATTCCCAGTGACCTTGAGAAACTTGGGCACATCCACACACTTAGGAATTGGATTGCTTGCGTAAAGCTGCTGATTTCAGGGGTTCTGCTGCTTTGTGGAGTTTCTTGGGGTGGATGGAGCTTTTCCAAAGGGTGCTGGTGCCCAGGCTGGGGCTCTGACCCCCTCCTCTGCAGGGCAGGTCTGTGTCAGGATGTCGCTGTGGGGGTGAGGGAGGTGGGGGCTGTTCAGGTGCTTCCATGAGAGGAAAATACAATCCAGCAAAGGAGCAATCCCCCAAACCCGACCTGCATTGGGATAACTTGGTATTAAATCAATGGAATTATTTGTGTTATCAGTGTCAAGGTTTTGTTTCCAGACTTCGAGCGAGTGTTTTGGGATAATTGGAATCCTGTTACTCCCCTTCCTCCCCATGCCCTGGAGCACCCTCTGGAAGTGTACTTTCCCAGGAGCTTAAGGGGCTTTTAAATTGCTGTCAGTGTAAACACAGCCTGCCAGGTTTGGAGCCCACAGCCTGCAGAAATCTGTGGCTTGTTAATTTTTGACTGCGAATTTAAAGGCCAAGTGTTGCGAAAGTGCTTTTTGTGCCTTTGGAGTTTTAGTGTTGCAGGAGCAGGAGAGTCCAGGAGGGAACTGCAGGTGGGCTGGTGCTCTGTGTGGTGCTCCAGGTGGAGTTTAAGAAGAGGCTGTTGCCATGGCTGAGGTGACAGCTGTAACTAGATCCCAAGTTTTTAGTCCTGTCTGCGGTGTCCCGGGGCAGCTTTGGAGCAGTGAGGGATGAGGGAAGGTTGTCCTTGCTTGGAATTGAAGTGTGATGGAGAAACTTGCTCCAGTGCCATCTAATAAATGGCCCAACAAGGTCACAATCACAGAATCATGGAATGGTTTGGGTTGGAAGGGACCTTAAAGATCATCCTGTTCCAATGGCAGGGACACCTTCCACTGTCCCAGGTACCTCCAAGCCCTGTCCAGCCTGGCCTTGGGCACTTCCAGGGATGGGAACGTGCAGCCAAAGTGAAGCTGCTTGTGGAGTCATCCCTGGTAGCACTAGTGCAGACTCATCCTACACTGTCCTTGTCTCTGGGACTTAATCCTCTCATTCCACCACGAGTTGGTTGTGCAGGGTTAGTGAAAAGCCAGAGAAGTGCCAAGAATGGGATAGAACAGAATTTGCACAGTGGTTTTGCCAGAAGAGGAACATCCTTTACTGATTTCCATGCCTTTGGTGGTGACAGAGACTCTCTGAAGGGGCTTCATGTTTGGAAGCCTTTATGTGGCTAAGAAATTGGGAGACAGGGTTTATTTTTGTCTAATTATTTGTTATATATATTTTTCAGGGGACCTACAAATCTTGGGGGATTCTGTGTTTTATTCCAGGGTCAGTTTGTAACTGGAGTGTGGATCTGCCTGTACAGTGGTGGGATCAGTAGTCTTTAGTGTTAACAGCATTTAATATTTATTTAATTAAGTTATTATGTATTTAGTTAGTTAATAGTCAAGAATGAGGTAACTATTATATTTATGGTGAATGTGAGTCTGGGATTGTGACCAGTTGTGGCTAATGCTCAAAATCTGACCCAGAATCAGAATTTGGGACCTTTTAATTCTTTGTCTGTGATCCCACGATAATTTAAAGGTTGCCTAAGCCTTTGTAGCTGTGGAATACCTGTTGAGCAACAAAAAAAAAAAATAGCAATATGAAAGCAAGAAAGGCTCTTGGAGTCTTCTTGGCCAAGACACATGTTCTGGGAGACCTTTGAGCATTTTACAACACCCAGTTGCCAAACCAAGCCCTTTCTAGGAAAGAGAGACACCTCAGGCTCCTGCATTCCTGTTTGACTGTGGGTTTTTGCCTAAGCCTGTCACCCAAAGGGCTGATTTCATGGATAATTTTCCTGACCTATATCTTTTTAAGGAATAAAGCTATGTTGATCTCCTGAGACCTGAGGAACAACGTTCTGTTGGGGGCACCTCTGAGTGACAGTGACCCGTCCAGAGAGTTGGGAAGCTCCACAACACATCTGTAATCCTAAAAACACTCCCAGAAATAGCCAACTCCTGTGTACTATGTCCCCTGGCCAGTGTGGATGTCAGAGTTCCAGAAGGGAGAAAATACTGGGACAAAGGAGACTGTTGAAAATCAAGGCAATTTGAGTCTCTCTTATATGGACTGGCAGGTTTTGGGGGGTTTGAATCTTCCTTCTCTCCGTTCAAACAATGGATTTATGGTGTATTAATGGTTTTGCATTGATTTATTTAGCTCTAAACTGGCTTCTTGGTGTGGGTTATTTCAGTCTGTATAGGAAAGATCTGGATCTTTCCATGGACGAGTATTTTTCCATGTGTGTCCTTGAGGTTTGGTGCTGTTTGAATGAAAAGGAGCTGATTGGAAATTAGCCATAATTGGACATAGAAAATGTGACAGATTTTTTTGTAGGGCTCTTAAGAGAGCACAGTGGGGTTTTTTGTCCTTTGGGAGGTGAGAGCCTGCCTGACCCTGGCATGGTGTGGGTCCTTTTGGGGTCCTAAGCTCAAAATTAAACTGCTCTCAAAGAGGGAGACAAGAAATCTGCCTGTCAGGGAAGAAGAGGAAAAACCTGGATGCTGCTTGGAGAGAGGAGACCATAGACAGAATCTGGGAATGTTGTAGGGAAGCACTTGGAAGAGTGGAAAGCTGCAGCCAAGACTGAGGCCCTGAGATCTGCTGGAATATTGTCCCTCGTGTCTCTTGAGGATAATGGATCATTTGTTTCCGTGGAAAAAGTTGTTTAGCTGCCATCAGTGACTGGTCACAGGTTCCTGTGGAGAAGAGCTGGGTGAGGGCAGGTGGCTGGTGTGGTTAGAATTCCCTGTGAGGAGGAGGAGGAGTGGAGCACTGGGATATATAATCTTAGAGATAAGAAGATCTTGGGTTTTGTCCAGTGAGCAGCAGCCCCTCACCTGAGGGGTGAACTGCTGAGGTGTCACAGAACGATGGTCTCTGCCCTGTTGCAGCTCTGGGTGGAGAAACTTGCTGTAGCCTGAAGGATTTGTTTAAGGAGGCCAATCTGTGGGGATCCAGCCCAGGAGAAGGGCAGGTGGAGGCTTGCTAGCTGGAAAAGGTGTCTGGAGAAGCTGGAGGAGAGGGATGGCAGATACCATTGATCCTGCACGTGTGGTATGTCCAAACCTGGAGCTGCTTTTTGAGGCAGCAGTGCTCCCTCTCCCTGCAGAGCTCAGCACACGGGGCTGTCTGGAAACCCCATCCTCTGGGATGTCTCCAGCAATGGGGCTTATTTAGCCCAGCTGGCAGCTTTGTGTGGATCTGGCCTTGGACAGGAGTAGTGAGGGGTCTGTCCTGACTCCCTGTGTTTCACAGAGTCATTGAGGTTACCTCTTGCTGAGGTAATTGGGTGTTCAGTTGACCAACCATCACCTGATGGTTGGCTGTTGTGATTTCTAGGAATGTTTGTACCCTTTTGGTTGTTCTAATTTGGTTTTGCTGATAATTAAATGTAATAAAAAAGAGAGAGAAGAGGTGGCCAAAACCATCGATACTGTGTTTATTCACAGTATGAGTCTTGTTGATTGTAGAGCTTGGGAAACATGACATTGGACATGAGTGGACATGGAATGGTGGGAGGGAAAACTGTGGGACAGGACACTGCCCAGGGTCTTTGCTGGCATAGAAACATGGATTTTCTAGACTTGTTTAGTCCTGGAATTCTGCTCATTGTGAATTCCTCCACAGACTGGGGATGGCCTCAAGTCAGGCGTTGTTCCTTCCTAGAGTTTCTTCAGGAGCCTTTATACCCAACTTTTCAGTTCTTACCCACTGCTGGTTTTGGAAAATAAAGCTTGACATTGTCTGAGTGGCCTAATATGGTGTGTGCCTGCCTGTGTCCCCTCCCTGTGCTGTCCTGCAGGTAACTGAATGCCCTCAGCGTGGATCTTGGCTCGGTTGGAATGCTTGGATGCACAGCAGCTCTTCCCATAGCTTCTTTTCCTCTGCCCCATTACAAGAAGATGGCAAAAGCCAACATTACCAGAGACATCATCCACAGACAGATCAAGGTACGTGTTGGGTGGAGGGAGATGGAGAATCAGTGTTTGTGCTGGATTGGGAAATACTCCTGGTGGTGCCTTTACTTTGGAAAAGATCTCTTGTTGATAAGCTCCATGAGAAGCTTAAGAGAACAAACACATAGGACCTATCACTGTCCTTAATGAGGAGCTGGGGTGAAGTGTGGCATGGCAGGAATACAGTTCCTCTCCCTGTGCTAGTTTGCCATCAGCAGGTCTGTTCCTTTTGAGGGAAATACAGCTGCTTGTGTTTGGGCACCACAAAGGCCCCTTAACCAGCTTCTCTCTCTCTCCTCTCTGTGTTCTCCCCGTGTGATCTTGCCATCAGAGGTATTTCTGACTGTAGTAGAGCTAATGATCTCTGTCACAGCCTCTCTCTGTCTCCTCTTCTTTAGAGAGTGGTGTGTTGCTTCCTTTGTGTAGGGGAAAAAGCTGCTGCAGTGGTTGGATCAGTCATCTGATGGCTGCATTTGTGGAATATCAACGTGAAAGGACTGGCTGCAGCAGACACAATAGGCAATTATTGCTTGGACTCAGAGGCCTGAAATCATTTGCAGCTCTGCTGGTAATCAGCATTCAGGAAAGGGGTCTGTGAGTAGCCAGAATAAGGAATTGGAAGTGCTCACTTTGCAGTTTGGTACCAAACTTTGTGTTACGAGCCTGTAATTTAATCCATGTGCAAAGATTTGTTTTGCTGCCCTAACAAGGAGAGGCTGGTTCTGTGGTTAGAGCCTTAGCCTGGGACTGTCTCATACTGTCTACTCTGTCAGACTTCGATCTGTGACCTTGGGAAGGTTGCTAAGTCTGACAATTCCTTGTAGGGAAAGCAAAATCCTATTCCACAGCCCTCACAAAGCCACTGAGGCTGCAGCAGCACAGGAATTACACCTGCAGCACCTTGCACTGGGCCCAGCAGGGCCTTAGGAATGCTCTCCACAGAAATACATCAGGGGGTTTGAAGTTTGTCATGGAAGCTCCTACAAAAAGCCTGGTTTGTTTTCCCTCCAACACTTTCATGTCTGTCTCCATTTTGTTTTCCAATAGCTTTTGGAGTGTGTGGAGTTCATTACTGAACATTGGGCTGGGAAGGGAATTCAGCAGTTCTGTGTCTGCTCTGGGACTGCTGACATGTTCCAAGCCCCATTAGTGTGATTTTTTTTGAACCCCATCAGTGTGATTTTTTTTGAGCCCCATCAGTGTGATTTTTTTTTTGAGCCCCATCAGTGTGATTTTTTTTTGAGCCCCATCAGTGTGATTTTTTGAGCCCCATCAGTGTGATTTTTTTTGAGCCCCATCAGTGTGATTTTGACATTGTTGTTCCCATCCCTAAATGCTGATAGTGAAGGAGTAAGTTACAATTTTTGACATTGGTGTTCCCATCTTTAAATGCTGATTAAAAAGACATGAGTTGAGCGTGGTGTGGGACGGGACCAAGGCTGGGTGAGTTCCTAGGAAGGAACCTCCTTGGCTGTTCCACCCAAAATGTGACTTGCATTCCCTTGCCTTCATCCCTGCCTCTGCAGTTGGCCTTTTTTCATCGAAGCCATCTGCCAATGCATCTGTGAGCCCTGTGAGATCACAGGGGAAACAACTGTCCTGCTTTTCTTCACCTTCATTTGTACTGACGCAGTTCTGTGGCAGCTGTTCCCTCTAGAACAGCCTGTGCTGTGCTGCTGCAGCTCCAAGGTCCTGCTCCATGGCTGAGGAAATAACCCATCCCAAAGGAAGCTGTCCAGTCACATTCCCTGGGATTTGCCCGTGCTGGTGCCTCAGGACAGGCTCTGTAATGGCAGAGTTCTCCTGAGCAGCTCTGGTCAAGAACTGCTGTCCTCAGGATTGAGTTCCTGCTGAAGTCATCACCAGGGGATAATAATGGGCATTCCCAAGCTCTTCCATGTCTTCTGTTTCAGGCCCAAAGTAGGCAATTTACTCTGCCTTAGTGTGGGCCTGGTCTTGGCTCCCCAGCTGAGCCTGTCACTGAGCTGAACATCATTTTAAACCAAATCAGGGGCAAAAATTATGATCTGCCTACCTGAAGATGTTCAAATGATGGCTTAGAAGGCTGGAGAGGGAATTGTCAAAAGGGCATGGAGTGATAGGACAAGGGGGAATGGTCTCAGCTGAAAGAGGCCAGGGTTAGATGGGATATTGGGAAGAAATTCTTCCCTTTGAGGGTGGGGAGGCCCTGGCACAGGTTGCCCAGAGAAGCTGTGGCTGCCCCATCCCTGGAAGTGTCCAAGGCCAGGTTGGACAGGGCTTGGAGCAACCTGGGCTAGTGGAAGGTGTCCCTGCTCATGGAGGGGGTGGAACTGCATCATCTTTAAGGTCCCTTCCATGCCAAACCATTCAGTGATCCTCTGATTCTGTGCCTCCTTACTTAGAGCACAGCTCCCTCGTGCTGTGGACACCCCAATACCCGGCAAAGCAACCTGCTTGACTTTTAAACTTTTAAGAATCTTCTCTTAAAAGGGGAAATAGGAAATGTTTTGTTTGCTGTAGTCAGTGTGGTGCTTGTTTGCCCCGTGCAGGAGAGGGGAGCGCTGGGCTTCGAGCGGCACTACCACGTCACTGACCCCTTCATCCGCCGCCTGGGCCTGGAGGCAGAACTGCAGGTGAGTGGGCAGTGCCCAGAGAGCAAACCAGCTGCTTCCTCACTGCAGGAAGGGTATGAAATTCTCTCTTTTGTGGGGTGGATGTTGATTTCTTATCCCCCAAGCTGCATTAGAGCCAGGAATAGCTCAGTGAGAGTTTGCGTGAGCTTTCCGCGCTTACCTGATGCACCTGCAGGAGAACCAGTTGTCAGCTCTTCAACACACTCAGCTCTAATGCTTAATGTGTTCCCTAAAGAACAGGTTGTTTTGCACTCTGACACAGCTTTTTGTGTCACATCTTAATGTTATCTTGGTTTGGGGGAGGAAAGGGTCCTATTGTCCCCCTTTTCAGTCGCATCTCCCAAATCAAACGCTATCGGTGCTCCCCCACTTCTCACTACTGCTGTTGGTTGATTTGGGTGAAGATGGATGGTGGATCACCCAGCAGCAAGGTGCTTCTAACAGAGCTATCAAAAGTGCCTTTTCCCTGTGTTCCCAGACAACCTGCACATGTAATTTGTCAGCCTTGCCGAGGGCTTTGGAAGCAAAGTCACCTTTCCCCATGTACAGCAGGATTTCAGCTGTAACCTCAGAGACTAAAACTGCCATTTTATTCAACACTACCTTTTTTTTTTATTATTTATTTCACTTTACCTTTTCTACCCCGACTGCTATAGCATGTCTTTCTTTTCTGGAGGTGCTTATTTGCCATGTGGGTGGGGTTTGTTTTGTTTTGTTTTGTTTGTTTTTTTTTACAGGGTTGGAATAAAAACATAAAAAAACCTGCTTGTATTGGAACAAGTTGTTATTTGTGGGGAGCTCGCTGTGTCCTTGCCTTAGAACAACTCTGCTTGATAAATCTGAAGTTTGTGTAATACCATCTTCCTTTTTTTTTTTTAAATTCCCTCAGGGTCACTCTGGGTGTGTCAACTGTCTAGAGTGGAATGAAAAAGGAGAGTAAGTATGTGGCTTGGTTTGGGAGCAACAAACCCATAACCCCAGGTTCTCCTAAGAGTAGGATGTAGGTCATCTTATCACAAGCAGCTGCTTCCCATTTCTAGTAAAGTGGAGCTCAAGCTCAAAGTTTTAGCTGTAGTAGAGCTCACGCTTCAAAAAGAAGCTTTATTTTGTTAAATATATCTGGATATTATTAGAAATGCCCCTTTAGTCAGTTCAGAAGGGAAATGGTCAGACTAAGAAGTGGAGATTGAAGGCTGCTTCTCTTCTCTTAAGTGGTATTATGGATTATAATGGATCTTTGGGATTTGCCCAGCTGGTGGTGACATTTCCCAACCCCCTTCACCATGCTGTTAAAAGCTGCTGCAAGGGGACAAATATCTAATGGAAGAAGGTAGAGAATTTACCCCTCTGCAATTTTAGAGAGAAACTAAAGGGCATTTCCATTAACCAAGTGCAATAAAGACTTTCTGCCTGAGAAATGAGTGGCTGGAAGGAAGAGCGTGTATTTCTGGACACGCCTCTTAGAACATCCAAGGTCTGCTTCTCAGAATGATTTACCAGAGAAAATTTCATGTGCTTGAAAGAGATTTGGCTGCAAGGAAATAAGTTTAAAACAGCTGAGAGTTGCAGATGTCCAGTTCTTTTGGGCTCAGATGCAGAGGGATGTGCCAGGTCAACAGCACCTTGCAATGACTTTATACTTTTAAAGCTGTTTGTGGTTCGCTCCATGAGCCCTGGGAGTGCTTGGGCACATCCAGAGCTTGGGAATAAATGCCTTGGCTTGGCTTCAGGGATGATGGGGAGCACTTAACACAGCCAGGATAATAAGGAAAATGGAGGCCCTGCATTTTGTTGTTGAGCAAATAACCTCTGTTTTCCCCCGTGCCATCGGAATCCGTTCAATGAGCCGAACCAACGAAAACCACTCACTTTATTTTCCATGGAGCTGCTGTTTGGCTGGTTTAGCTCCTTGACCTGGCTGAATGGATGAGTGCATGGGGAACACAGAGCTGAGGAAAGAGAGAGGAAATGGGCCGCTTAGGGCTGAATTAACTTAATGGATGTCTGTGGTCAAACCGCTCTGTGAAATTGGTCACGGCTTAGAACAGAACAATACTTGGTGCATATTTCTCTTCTCTTTCATTCAGCTTGTTGGCCTCTGGCTCTGATGACCAGCACACCATTGTCTGGGATCCTCTGCACCACAAGAAACTCCTTTCCATGCACACAGGACATACTGCGAACATCTTTTCTGTCAAGGTATGTGGTTAGAAGGAATGAACAGCCAACAAAATTGGTAGCTAAGCAGCAAGAGAATAAATCCTTGCTGGGAAACGTTTTCCTTCAAGCAGTTTGCCTCCCAAATAATTTAATATTTCTAATGATACAAAAAAATGAATTAAATCCAGTACTGCACTTAGTTTATGCATATCCCAGGCTTATTCTCTCTGTGAGTTCAAGGGAAATGGTCGTAGCAAATTGGGATGTGTGACAAAGAGGCAAATTGAAATGTGTGTGTCCTGCTGTAGCTGGTGACTCCTGAGTGTGCACACTGACATGTGTGTAATGTAGGTAGTGACATGGGTTATCCCATGTTCCTGAAGCAGTTCCTGCTCCGTGACTGCCCGGACAGCCCAGTGGTGTCCATGTGAGCAGCCTCAGCCTGAAGGTCAGATCTCTCTCCCACAGTTCTTGCCACATTCGGGGGATCGGATCCTCATCACGGGAGCTGCGGATTCCAAGGTGCACGTCCATGACTTGACTGTCAAGGAGACAGTCCACATGTTTGGAGACCACACCAACAGAGTGAAGCGGATTGCCACGGCTCCCATGTGGCCAAACACCTTCTGGAGTGCAGCAGAAGATGGGTTGATCAGGTACAGAATTCCAGCTGGTTTGGTTTCAGGGTCCCTCGCAGTACGTGCTGTGCAGGCATCTGGAGAGAGGCTGTCTCTGTACTACAGAGCTTAAGCTCATCTCTCCCTTTCTTAGAACTGGAAAAATTTATCTCGTAAAATCTGATAAATACCCTCCTCATCTCCTCCATTTTGCTCCACTGAAGAGGGAGGCCAGGAAAGGAACAGCCATGTCAGAGGCAAGGGAGATATAACACTGCATAACATTTCCCTCCAGAGTCATTGAGACTCTGAAACGAGTATTTTTACTATGAGGCTCTGTTTCACTTTTCCTATGAGCTGCTGTTTGTGAGGTCATGACTTGGAGTTTAATTTGGAACTTGAATAAATCTGTGCACGTTATAGAGCTGGTTTTGATGATTATCCTGATACTGAGGCCTAGTGTGTATTGAACTGAGATGCTTCCAGTAACCTGTGGCACAAATTACTGTTGTTAACATGTCCTTGGTGTCATCTCATCATGGATAATGAAGTGTAGGTCACTGCTGAGCGGTGTCAGTGTGCTGCTTTGAGTGGTCTTCAGTTTGGTCACCAAGGAAAACTTAACAAAAGGTTCTTCCCCCAGAGGGTGGTTGGGCACTGACCAGGCTCCCCAGGGCAGTGGGCACAGCCCCAAGGCTGCCAGAGTTCCAGGAGCATTTGGACAACGCTCTCAGGGACAGGGGGGAGTGTTGGAGTGTCCTGTGCAGGGCCAGGAGTTGGACTGGATGATCCTTGTGGGTCCCTCCCAACTCAGGGTGTTCCATGATTCTCTGCTGCTGCTTCTGCTCTCCATGACACGAGTGCCTGACTCCCTCCCTTTGCAGACAGTACGACCTGCGAGAGAACAGCAAACGCTCCGAGGTCCTGATAGACCTGACTGAGTACTGTGGGCAGCTGGTGGAGGCCAAATGCCTGACAGTGAACCCCCAGGACAACAACTACCTGGCAGTGGGGGCCAGCGGGCCCTTCGTGCGGCTCTACGACATCCGCATGATCCACAACCACAGGTAACAGCACCTGGCTTTGCTGGGCACATGTGAGCTGCAGAAATCTGGTCAAGGCTCTGGGGGGAAGGGGGACTTGCAGGGATCCATCATCTGCGAAGTTTTACTCTTTTTTTTTTTTTTCTATCACCCAAAGCCTTTTTGATTTCTGAATACACTGGGGTGATGCGAGCCTGGTGACCCATAGCTGGGTGGGCCTTGTCCTCATGGGTGAACATAAAGTGTTAGCTTGGATCAGGCTTCCAGCAGTTGAATGCTATGATTATAATAAGGCTGTTCTTCTGGCTAGGAAAAGCATGAAGCAGAGCCCTTCAGCTGGAGTACACACGTTCTGTGACCGACAGAAGCCCCTCCCGGACGGCGCGGCGCAGTACTACGTGGCAGGTATGGACACCTGTACTGGGAGACACTGGGAGAGACTGGTGGGACTTCAATGCCTGAAGAAGCAGAGTTGTACTCCTCACACAAGGAACCACTGCTTGGAGGAGTTCTTCCATGGGATATTCCCTGGATTTGCAGTTTGTTTCACTTCTGTGCTGTGGATTCTTGCTCGGTTCTCTGATCTGGCAGTGCTGTGGGGTGGTGAGCTGGCCTTGCTGCTTCTTGTCCAGCATAAATGTCTTTTTGTCACTTTTATTGGAAAGTCAAGAATTGGATAACCTGGGCTCTATATGCTTTCCTGGAACTGGTCCCAGCAAAGCTGCTGTTCAAAATCTTTTTGGCACAGGAGAGAAATGACTTGTCCTTATCCTGCAGATGAAGAATCAGTGATGCAGTGTCTGAGCAATCTATATGACATTCTTCTCCAGTGCTTGTTATTTACTATCCTTTTCCCCAAAATGTTCGGGTTTTTTTCCAATATCTCAGACCAGCACGTTCAGCAGACCAGTTCTGACAGTCCTGCTTCTGATGAGTCCCACTGGAGGATTCCTCAGGTCCCCTGAATTGGTCATGCAACACATCTGCTGTCTGAGCAACAGAACCTGTGTGTGAGCTGAATATTTAGGAGCTTTGGTTTGGTTGTGCTGAGGGCTTTATTAAGGAAACCTGATTAGAGGGTTGAAGATGGAGGTATTTGCAGATGGCACAAGTGGCAGAAGCCAAATCCTGGTGAATCCCTAAAACTGAGATTTGCTGGGTTCTGCAGGCTCCTTGTTAACAAGGCAGTTAGAATCCTCGTCTTCACGTGGAGATGGCCTTGCAGAATCAAAATCATTGAATGGTTTGGGTTGGAAGGGACCTTAAAGCCCATTTCATTCCACCCCTTGCTATGGGCAGGGACATCTTCCACTAGAGTGGTTGCTCAGAGCCTTGGATGAGGCATTGATACTTAGAAGCTGTGAAAAAGCCCCTGTGTGTTTTGGTGGCTGATGGAAGGATCCAATAAACAGCAGGAAATGGGTGCTCCATGGCTTTGCCCTTGTAAAAGGGAGCAGCTGGGGTAGGACAAAGACAGCACTTACTGGTTAAGCCAATAATTACAAACTTCTCCTCTCCACAGGGCACCTTCCAGTGAAGCTTCCGGACTACAACAACAGGCTGAGGGTTCTGGTGGCCACATATGTCACCTTCAGTCCTGATGGCACTGAGCTCTTGGTCAACATGGGAGGGGAGCAGGTAAGGAGACAGCTCAAGTTTGGCAGAAAGCTTCAGATGCAGTTGTTGAGTCACTGCACATTGTTGTGTGCTCTTGAAAACAGGTACAGCAACTTCTCTGTGGGTAATCTGATTGATTTTAAACTGCTTTCTGATTAATTCAGACTAAGTGCTTGGGATTAGGGATTTATTTGCTATGCTGTCACTGATCAAACTTGAACCACGTTCTGTTCTGGTTTTCCAGTTCACAGTTCACTCTCTGGAAGAGGAAAAAAAACTAAACAAGTTCTGGAACTGACCTTTGCTGACCTAGAAAAGATTTCATAGCTCATTCTTGAAACATCAAACTGCTTCTGTAATAAGGCATAGTGACTAAAGGACTTGGAGAAGTAAAGGCCTTCACCTGGAATATTGATTGCTTTAATTTTAAGCTCTGGGTGATATTCATGGATCTTCTGTAAAGCCTATCAATGAAATGAGAAAATCCTCCTGACAGCATTAATCAGTGTGGATTAAGCAGGAACTTTGCTGGTGGGCAGGTTGCACTGTGGTTGTCCCCTGCAGGTCTTTCTCACCTGTGCTCTCATTCTCTTTAAGAGAAGGTGCTGAGAAGGTGAAGAGTAGGGCTGATCTGGGCTGTCCATTCCTGTCCCAGTACAACTGTAAAATAGAATTTCACAGGGCTGCCTTTGGAGTTTCTCGAGAAATCTTATAGAAATCTTGAATCTTAATATATCCTTCTCAGTTTCTCAGGTTTCATCTTGAAGAGATTATTCCCTCAGTTCAGTGTACCACCTCTTTTCTGTCAATAAATGTTTGATTCCTTCATGATCACTGTTAATTAAAGTATCTTATTGGAGTTGAAGCTTTCTGAGCAGGTTGGTCAGTGGTCAGGCCATCTTTTAAGTTCTGTAGGTGTGGGGAGGGCTGTCTTAGCTCTGAGATAAGACCAGGCTGCTGTTTCTCAGCATTATCCCTTCTGAACCCAGTGCTGGAATGGAGCACACCACTAGTGCTGCTGCCATCCCCATCTATAAACAAGATTCCCAGTTAGAAAATTGGAAACAGCAAACACAAACACAAAACCGTACACCCATCTGGCCCTGTTTTATTTTGGTGACTTGAGCATCTATATTTTGCTGATTTTTTTTTTCTTTTTTTTTTTTTTTTTTTTTTTTTTTTTTGGTCTCATTCTCTCTTTTTCCTCTCCTTAGGTCTATTTGTTTGATCTGACATACAAACAGCGACCGTACACTTTCCTCCTCCCGAAGAAGTGCCACACTTCAGGGGGTAAGTGTGATGCTGTCACTAAAGGGAGTGAAAGGCAGAGTGAAGTCAGGGTGCAGCAGGAAAATGAAGCTGTTGCTGGGCTGTTTCTGCAGTGTAGTTCATACCCTGAGTTCTAAAACCCTTCTGCAGAGGGCCAAAATGAGTGTCAGGATGGGAGAAGTGACCTGTGGGGAGCTGAATGTGTGTGTGTTAATTAGGGAGAATGCTTAAAGCTGTGCACAAGGATTAAGTAGACTTTGTAAGTGGTTGAGGTCCTGGTATCCTGTCTTCAAATAAGGGGGAAGCTTTGTAGACAGGCATGGAAGAGATATGTTGTTTGATTTTTTTTTTTTTCCTTTTAATTATCAGTAAAATATAGGATACTGTTGTTTCCTTATACACTCAATACAAGGAAACAGAGCCGTCTTCCCTAGTCTAACAATCTGGCCTGGCACTAATAGCCCTCCTACAATCAAAAAGTCATTTATTTGACCTGGAAGTTTGTCCAAAAGCCCTTTCATTCCTTGCTCTGTACACAGATACCACAGGCAGCAGGCAGTGAGTGGCTGCAGTGATACTCCTGACTCTTGGCAGGGAGTGTTCCCTGCTCACCCCTTCCCTGTGTGACCTGTGTCCTCACCTTAGGCCTTAATCTAAAAATCACCTCCTGGTAGCAGGGAGGTGCAGCTGCACCAAACACTCCCTGCCGGGCACAGGAAGTTCAGGGAAAGGCTGGGAAAAGGTGTTATCAGGTCAAAGTCCTGTGCCTGCATGTCCCTGCATGCTGAGATCTCTGAGCAGCCCAGCAGGCTGGTTGGGCAGTGTCCCCAGTTCCCCAGTCTGAAGTGGCTGCAGGAGCACTCCCAGCTGCAGCATAAATGCAGTTTGTAAGGTTTAACCTGAATGTTTTCTGGTGAAATGGCAGCTGATGTGGCTGCATGGCCTGCAGAGGATTGGTTCAGCCTGTAACAACCCTCCCTTGAACAGTAGGGTAAGAAAAGGACTAAAGGAAGAAAGAAAGAAAGCAAGCATCTGGAATTCATCTACTGGATTCCTTCAGTGGTTCTACTCATCCTCCTTGTTCTATGAAGTATTCAACAGCTTAGTTGTATGTTCATTTGTCTGAAATACAGAGTTATACCAATGTCACTAAATACTTGTGCAGTTTTGGGATTTTTCACAAAGGCATATAGTGACAGGACAATGGGGAATGGCCTTAAACTGAAGGAGGGCAGGGTTAGATGGGATATTGGGAAGAAATTCTTGGCTGTGAGGGTGGTGAGGTAGAGGTTGCTGAGAGAAGCTGTGGCTGCCCCATCCCTGGAAGTGTCCAAGGCCAGGTTGGACGGGGCTTGGAGCAACCTGGGCTGGAGGAAGGTGTCCCTGCCCATGGCAGGGGGTGGAACTGGATGAGCTTTAAGGTCCCTTCCAACCCAAACCATTCTGGGATTCTGTGATACTCCAGCTATGGCCTAGGCTCAGTCAAAGGCAGATCCCTTCAGGATACCCTCTGTGTGTGTGTGAGTACTTAGTTCTGTGTGTATCTGGTTTTCTGTTCAAGAGTACCATTGCAAAGGACACTGCAGAGATTTGGTACTAAATAGAAGGCGGCAAATCAAATCTGGGTGGCCGGAGGAGGTGGGACGTGTGATATCCCAGAAGTGATGTGGTGTGGCTTTGGCTTGGCTCTGCTGTACAAAAAAACCCTGAAGCTGCAGATATGAGTTTGTATAATCTACACTGATGCTTAGCATGGCTTTATAGATATATATATATTTTTTTCTAACCTTCAGAAGTGCAGAATGGAAAAACCTCTACCAACGGAGTGTCGAATGGCATCCACCTCCACAGCAACGGCTTCCGCCTGTCCGAGGGGAGGGCACACGTGAGGTAAGGGCACAGCTGCACCTCCACGGGGGTCCTGGGCCTCTCTCCTTGTCCTCTTCCTCTTGCCAGGGTGAGGTACTGCCAAAAAAGTGTGAAGTACAAATCCACTTGGTGTGTTCGACTCGATTGTCAAGTGGCCTCTGTCCCAGGAGCTGTATTGGCTTCTGGCGCTTGGGCTGTGAACAAGAGCATCAGGAAGAAATTATCCATGAAGATTTTTCCTCTCTTGTGATGAATTAGGGTGGACAAAACTAAGAAATGACTTTTCAGGCCTGGAAGCAAAGTGTCCTGGGTGGTTGTTCCTTCCTGACTTGCAGGAACTGTGTGTTGGGAATAGGAGAGGCTGCCAGGTGAAAGAGCCTTGCTTCCCTTTGCCATGTTTTGGGCACCTGCCTTCTGGAAATTGAAGGAAGCAGCCAGAATTTCTTTAGGACAGTGACACTGGAGTCACTACTCCTGCAGTCTGCATGGGAGCTGAGAATGGATGGAGAAACTCTTCTTGTTTATTCCTGGTCCTTTCCTTCCTTAAGAGCAAAATGCAGTTGGGGTGAAGCAGCAGCAGCACATCTTGGTGGCTGTTTTTCCTGAGGCATGGTTCAAAGTCAAGACACTTATTTAATACCATATATGGGTAGTCTGGGTTCCACCAAAGTCGCTTTGTGGAATGTTTCAGCTCATTTCCTCTAGATGGCCCCTCCACCGCGGCAGTGGGAATGGGGCTGGAATTTTGGGTTGCGGAGCGTGGGCCTGGTGAACTCTGGATGCTTCTGGATTTGCATTGTTATGCACTGCTAAAAGGGGATTGGAAATGTTGTTTATGCAGTTGAAACAAAGATGTGTCGGTGAAGTGTGGTGTTTAAAATACCCACTGCTCAATTTGGAGTGTCCCTGTGTCTAAAGGAAAAATGGAAACGGTCAAATGATGGTCGAACTGATGCAGTCAGACTGACAGAGGGCAGGTTTAGATTGGATGTTAGGAAGAAATTCTTGACTTTAGGAAGAAATTCTTCCCTGTGAGGGTGGGTAGGCCTTGGCACAGGTTGCCCAGAGAAGCTGTGGCTGCCCCTGGATCCCTGGAAGTGTCCAAGGCCAGGTTGGACGGGGCTTGGAGCAGCCTGGGCTATGGAAGGTGTCCCTGCCCATGGCAGAGAGTTGGTCCCTCCCAACCCAAATCATTCTGTGATTCTGTGGTTGAAAAGAAACCTTCCTCCTAAATTCAGGTTATTCAGATCCAGGATCTCTTCTGCCTTTTCCTGAATCCTTTGGTATTAGGTAATGCTCGCTGGGACTTGCTAAGCTCGAACTAAACACCACAAACATTTACCTGGAGTTAAGGATGTCCAACTTACCTGTGCTCCTCCTTTCTTTCCCATCAGCCCCCAAGTGGAGTTACCTCCTTACCTGGAGAGGATCAAGCAGCAAGCCAACGAGGCCTTTGCCTGCCAGCTGTGGACTCAGGCCATCCAGCTCTACAGCAAAGCAGTGCAGAAAGCCCCCAACAATGCCATGCTCTATGGGAACAGGGCTGCTGCCTACATGAAGCGCAAGTGGTAAGGAGCCAGAGTGTCAGAGTTCAGTGTCACAGGTGCCTGACTTCCAAGGACCATAGATATCTTGTTGGAGGACCTGGTTTTCCTGTGGGGTTGGGGTTATTGGGTTGAGTCATAAGTGGGCACCTCTGGCACAGCAGTGTGTGTTGGAGAAATTGTGGTCAGGCCCAGCTGATAAAGCTCATCATCTCACCTGCTGATGTGCTGAGTGAAGTTCTGATCCTTCCCTTTATAAAAAGAAACCCAAAATCCACTTCTGAGTCACAGGGTGTCTCCAAAGGTGTTTGCATTTCTCTGGATGGTTCTGATCTGCATTAGAGTAGGTAATGGTGACTGTGCTTTATAACATCTCATGGTAGAAGGTTGGTTTAGGGCTGCCCAGGGTAGCTTTGTTTGCTGCTTTATCCAAGTACCTCATACTGGAGATATTCAGACCTGGTGGTTCCTGTGTTACCCCAGTTAACCCACACTCCCTTGGAAACCTCTCAGAGGGATCTGTAGAGGTGGCAACTGGTGCCTTGGAATGTGGAGGGGATTCTGTCCTAATGGTTGCAAAACACCCTATCAGCCTCTGCAGTAGGTAATGTCTCTCTGACCAGTGGCCAGAGCTGCATCTGCAAGATGCAGCTGAGTTATTTTAGTGTCTGTCCCCTTGAGCAGAGTAAGACTGAGTAGCATGACTTGCCATTAACATATTTAAAATAACTGTGGTCCTTCATCTCCATTTGCTTTGTGAGGATATCCTTCCCCTCTCCCTGCTGAAATCCCCAGTATGAATTCTCCTCTCCTCTTGCCAAGATAAAGAGCAGCCAGCAGTTGTTGTGACTGTTGGTAACTGGCCTACTGGCTGTTTTGCAATAGCAGAGATTTGGGAGCTGCCTCAAAAAGACCTCAGTGTTCAGAGGGAGAGGAACAATAGGTTGGGATTAAGGAATGGAAGACAGAAGCTGAGTGCTGATCTCATGAATGACATTTTTCATATAGGAATCGTTTTTCCTGAAGGGTATTGGCAGATCTGAACCTTTCAGTGTGTCAGCTACTGCCTTGCCACAGTTTTGGGTAGCAGGAGGATGTGAAAAACATACACACAATGGGTTTCTGTGGCATGCAATGGGTAGAATTTAAATAGTACTGAGCTGATCTCTTCCAGGTGCAGAAAAGGGACATTTTTCTGCTAGAAACAGCTTCTGGTATATGGAGAAGGTGGCTGGGATGTCACTGAGCAGGAGGCAGAGGCAGGCAGTGACCCATACTGAACCACAGCATGTCTCTGAGGTGTTCTTGATGTTTGGAGCAGGAACAGGTATAGGCCACCCTCAGAACCCTGCAGGTCCTGCTTTGGCCTTGTTCTCTGAATAACAGAGAGATCAAGAAAAAAGGAAGGTCTGTAATTTCCTAACCTCCCCTTGCTCATCTCCCTTAAGATGCTGCTCATACTCTACAGCACTTCAAGGCTGTTCTTTGATATTTTGCTCCTAAAAGCCAACTGCATCACCCTCTGGATTGCTTTTAGCAGTCCATGTTGACAGTACGGAGCTGATTTCCAGTTTTGCACAGGCTGAGTCAAAGCTGCAACAAAGGGAGAAGTCAGTGCCTGCTTTACATCTCACTGTGTATGTTTTCACACCAGTCTGTTGGGCTGACACTGGTAAGTTGAGGCTGAAGGATGTTTGAGAGTGGTAAAGCAGCTCATAACCCAGTCAGGTCTGAAAATGTGACACACTAGTCTGTCATTCTAACAAATAACTTGCATCCCCTCTTCCTCTGATTAAAAGTGGCTCGTTGCTTTGTCCAGCTTCCTGAATTAACACAGACAGTGCTGCAAAGACAGCCCTGAAGAGCAATGTTCCTTCTACCCTTCTGCAGATCTCATGGACAAGGCATTCCACCTTCTGACTGTGCTGGCCAGTGGCCAATATCCACCTAGACAGGAGGGAGCTGGAGGGTCAGTGGTTTGCAGAATATGTTTTGTGGCACTGAGTAACTGCTCCTTAGGGTGTAACCCAAAGAGCTGGAGCTCCTCTAGACGAGTCCAGGCACTGGAACACCTCTTCCCTGTTCCACCTGAACGTGAGGAGCAGCTTCTTTACTGTGAGAGTGACAGAGCACTGGGATAGGCTGCCCAGAGATGTTGTGGACTCTCCCTCACTGGAGATATTCCAAAGCTGTCTGGACACAGTCCTGAGGAACATGCTGTAGAGAACCCTGTTTGGGCAGGGAGGGTGTCCTGCATGACCTCCAGTGATCCCTTCCAACCTGAGTCATTTTGGGATTCTGTGATTCCGTGACAAAGGCTCTGTATGGTCTAAAACTGTTACCCTGTAGAAGGCACAGGGCAGTTCATCATCTTCCCTTTGGGACTGTTTCAGACAGTGCATGGAATCACAGACTCCTGGAATGGTTTGGGTGGGAAGGAACCTTAAAGATCATCCAGTTCCACCCCCTGCCATGGGCAGGGACACCTTCCACTAGCCCAGGTTGCCCCAAACTCCATCCAACCTGGCCTTGAACAGTTCCAAGGAATGGGGCATATAGATTACAGGGGTGAAACATCATTATTATTATTATTATTATTAACCATCACATGGCACTCTCTCAGGACAGCTTGTGGTGCCTCTGAGCAGTTCAGGCTCGATGCTGGTGCACCAGGTGTGTCAGCCCTGTCAGTCTGAGCTGAGCACCACACAAGGCTCAACAAATCCCTCCCGCTCCCAGAGCACAAGCAGGGACACCCTTATTCCCACAGCCAGAGCTCAGGGAAATCAAGCATAGTACTTTAAACAGAATATCAATATCCATTACCATACCAGTCTGCTGTAACACTCATTTCTAAAACTCAAAGGTTTTTCCTGTAAAGGTGAAAAAAAGACTCCTGCTTGAGCTATTTGTCCATCAGGGCTCTGAGGTGGGTGGGTGGTTCTGCAGCTCCTGGCTGAGGGCTCTGAGTGTCCCTGGGCAGGAGCTGTGCCGTGTGTCCACACAGGGGCACGAGTGAGCTGCCGTGTGAGGAGCCTGTTTGCCTGGCACGGGAGGCCTGTGCTGCCTGGCCAGAGGGCTGCTGCATCCTCCATCTTCAAAGGACTTCCCGAAATGTGTTACAGCAGGGAGCTCTGCTCTCCCGGATTTAAAATGGCAGGTCAGGGCTCGCAGGGCATCCCTGTGTGGTCACATCCCAGGGCTGCCTGTGGGCGTTGGGGAAGCTGGGCTGGGTCAGGTGGTGGCCCCGAGACACAGCAAATGCTGTTAGTGAGCTTTGTGGGGTGCCTGCTGCGTGGAAAGAGCTGGAAACAACAAGCTGTGGTGTGAAATGAGGGCTGGGAAACAGCAGTGGAAAATGTTTGCTGTTGCTGCTCGGGCTGTGTGATCCACTGCTCCCTTTTCCTCAGGGACGGGGACCATTACGATGCTCTGAGAGACTGCTTGAAGGCCATATCCTTAAATCCATGCCACCTGAAGGCCCATTTCCGCCTCGCCCGCTGTCTCTTTGAACTCAAGTATGTGGCAGAAGCACTGGAGTGTCTGGATGACTTTAAAGGGAAGTTTCCAGAACAAGCACACAGCAGTGCCTGCGATGCATTGGACAGGGACATCAATGCAGCCCTTTTCTCCAAGAGTGATAATGGTGAGTGCCACTGCTCCGTGTGCTCCTTCAAGGTTACACTGAAATCTAATGATCAGACAAGGATTTTCCTCCTTAAACTGCCCCTCAGAAGTAAAGCTCCAACTTCTGAGAGAGATTGATTGTTACCGTGCACAAAAACCGGCCTGAGCCTGTTCTTTCCTTGCGCCTGGTCCTGGTTTGCTCTTGAGTGAGAGTGTGATAAAAGGAGTCTGATGTAGCCAGGAGATAATCTGGAAGGAAGCTGGTGCTCTAAGCCCTGCTCCCTGCTGGAATCGTCCTTAACTCTTCCCTAAAGCTGTTGGGGTCTCTTGGAGTGCTGTTTGCTTAGAACATGTTCCTCCCCAAATGGTGTCAAGGGGAAAAAATCTGTTGTCCTTCCAGCTGAAGACAAGAAAGGGGGAGGCCCCATCCGGCTCCGAGCCACAGGCCGCAAGGATTCCATCTCTGAGGACGAGATGGTGCTGAGGGAGCGCAGCTACGACTACAAATTCCGATACTGTGGCCACTGTAACACCACTACAGACATCAAAGAGGCCAATTTCTTTGGCAGGTATGTTGGCAGAGCGTGGCAGGGGTGCAGGACAGGGGTGTGGGCAACAGCAGGATAAAACTATTGCCCACATATCTTCCATCGGATAAAGCCTCATGTGTTTATAAAATGACACAGGCACTGGTTTGAAGGGTTAAAAAAGATGACCGGAACCCTCCTCCTGTGTGGCTGCACGAGTAGAGCTGATCAGTAGCAGATCCACAGAGGGACCTGGTTGGGTTAGTGTTTCAGAAATCCATTTGGGATTGAAAACAGGACTCCTGGGGGTAGAGGGACCAGCACAGGAGCTTTATCTGGATCTGTAAGCATGAGGGGTGTCAGCCTGTGAATTATAGAAAATTCTCATGTCTGCTAGAGACTGGCTCTGAGCTGTGACCTCCAGCCTGTGCTCCTCTTGCCCTAGCAATGCACAGTACATAGTCAGCGGGTCGGATGATGGCTCCTTCTTCATCTGGGAGAAGGAAACCACCAACCTGGTCCGAGTGCTGCAGGGAGACGAGTCCATTGTGAACTGTCTCCAGCCTCATCCCAGCTACTGCTTCCTGGCTACCAGCGGCATCGACCCGGTCGTGCGACTGTGGAACCCCAGGCCAGAGGTAAGAGCTGCAGTCAAAGGCTCCCCTTGTCAGGAGGTGGAACGTGGTCTTTCCTACTGTTTTTTCCCCGCTGGCATCTCTAGTGAGAGCAGCAGTGACGGCCCCTGAGCTCTCTCCCTTGGTGCCTTGCAGAGTGAAACGCTCAACGGCCGCGTGGTGGTGGACATGGAAGGTGCTTCCCAGGCCAACCAGAGGCGGATGAACGCGGACCCTCTGGAGGTGATGTTGCTCAACATGGGGTACCGGATCACAGGACTGACCAGTGGTGGGGCTGGAGGCTCAGATGATGAAGACAGCTCAGAGGGGCAAGTCCAGTGCCGGCCCAGCTAAAATAGAACTGCCTCTCCTTCCTCTAATTGTTTGGCTGAAAGGGAACCTAGTTTCCTTGGTCCTGGACTCTCTCTGATGAATGACTGCACTGTTTCGCACTATGCACAGAGTAGGACAAGCTGGCAGGGGCAGGAGCGGCCGTCTCTGTAAACCATCACCTCCTCCTCCTCCTCCTCCACAGCATGGCAGTGCAGTCCGGGGTTTGCCTTTAGTGGAATTTAGTCCCAACAGGGGTCTTTGAGTTGTCTGTAAGCAGTGTAACTGGTGATTATTTTTCCAGAGCTGCTGTATGATGTGGTACAGGGTGATGTTGCCTGCATTGCAGAGGGGATGTTAAATTCCTGAATAAAATACAAACCTAGGGCAGGGGTTATGGAATGAATTTACTGCAGTGATTCTGAAAGCTTGACTCTGTGCTACCAGCCTGTCTAGAGGCCCCCAGTTTAGGGTTGTTGGCCATGAAACACCTGGTTTATCCCATAACATCTTTCTTCTGGCTTCCATCTCAGACACATTGTCAGCAGATGTGGCTGTGCTGTACTGAGGACTGGAGATTGCCTGTCTTGTCCCCCTGTCTTAGCTGAAGGATTGTTGAAGGCACTGGATATGTGCAGCTCAATGGGGCAGGATGTGCTTGCCCAGTTCTGGTACTTTCTCCTGTGGTCCATGAACCCATGGAGGGAGGTGACAGCAGCGGGGACAGGTTGGGTCAGAGGCTTAGGACTTGTGTAGCTGAAGCTGCTGAGGAAAGGGGCAGGTCACAGCCTCTCTCTCTGTTGCCCAGTGTGTGTAGCTGTGTTCACCTTCTCCTCTCCATGTCACCATGTGTGGGAGCTGAGAACGTTGTCACCGTGTGTATGTTACAACTACAGTTTGGAGCTGTTAGAAGCAGCATTTCTGGGCAGCCAGCTGCTCTGTCTTGGCCGAGGTGGGCCTTTTCTGCCTCGTTGTTGGTGTGACATTGGATGGATTCGTGATCCTCTCAGGAAACCTCCTTCCTCTTCCCGCTCTCCACACACTGACTGGCTGCAGAGCCAGGAGTGCACCAAGAAACGCAGCACTGGTACTTCCATTCCTTCCCCTCTCATGTAGCACACAGCCCTGTTTTTCCCTCTTGCAGTTGCCAAACACTAAATACCCAACAGATCTTACACAGCTGTGCTACAACCGAACCCGCAGAGGTTGTTTTTTTCTAGGACTATCAACTAAGACCAAAGAGCCCCTGGAGATCTGAACCGCTCTGCGCTGTCTCGTAGCTCTTCCTGCTGAAGGTCTGAACATGCCAGCCTTGGTCCCAGGGGTGTGAGGTGTGTGTCTGGGAGTGTGTGCGCATGTGTGTGTGCTGTTCTTCCATGTGGTGCAATCCCTGGTCTTCCTGTTGCTGCTGTGGAAAGAGGAGAGGCCTCCTTTTCCTCCTCTGGCTGTTTCTGGCTGCCAGGCGTTGCTGAGCGAGGCTGCGCAGTGCTGGCTGAGCAAGGGCTGCCTCTCCCTTCCAGAACAGTCTTTGAGATGAGGAGGGAGAGAGGTCATGGAGTCTGGCAGCATCTCTCCAAGGACACTGTTCCCTGCAGGGAGAGAGAACTGGGATCTCATCCCTGCCCCTCAGACAGACGTCACCTGCTCTGTCTCGGAGTGAAGCCGAGCCCACCCCGGTTTTGTGAGAACCCCTTGAAACAACCACCTCCCCTCGTGCTCTGGGGTGGCAGAGTCCTCTCCACCTTCTCCCACTGAGGCAGAGCTCACCTGGGACAGGTCACTCTGCTCCCGAGGGCAGCTTTGCTTGTTTTCACACAGAACCCACGACTGTTCAGTTCACCTGTTTGCTGGGGTACAGGCTCCCCCACCCCGGGTGTACCTGCTCTTCAAGACCCAGAGGCAGCAGAAAATTCTCCTCACTTGGGTGGCTTTCTGACACGCTCTGCCCTTTTCTTTTTTTGCTTAAGGCTTCCTACTAGATGCATCCTTTTTTTTTTTTTTATTTCCCCCTCTTCTCCTCCCACTCAAACTTTTTTTTCAGCTTTCAGTAGACAACGTCTGCAGACTTTGATTTTTAGACTGAGAGACTGAGATGGAAAGCTCTGAAGAGAACAAACCTCTCCCTCCCCGTTCACCTTTTGCTGTGGCAGCTATTTTTTGGGGTTTTTTTACACTCGTGAGACAGTGCAGCTCTTTTACCTGCCAGTTGCAGTGTGAAAGCAAACAGATTCCCTGCCTCTGCAGTGGGTTGCTGTTTTTAATGGCTGCTTTGGTTAAAAAAAAAAAAAAAGATAAATAATAATAGGAGTGAAAAATCTTTCTGCCTCCAGCCCCTTTTCCCCTTGTTGTGGGCAGATTACCTGCTTGTCACTTGTTAATGAGGAATTTGTATTTATTGGTGAAGGGAAAAAACATGCTGGGGAAGTCGGGAGAAGATGTTGCTTTATTGACCTCTGCTGTTTACTTCAACCCCCTCTTTGGGAAAGCTTCTTCCTGCTCTTTCTGGTTAACTCTTTCTAGCCTGGGATATGCAGGGATGCCTCCTTTATTTTTGTATTCTAGCAATGGGCTCTCCGTTAGGAGACTCTAGGATTCTCTTCGTGTTGCAGTGACCATTGCTTCTCGCTTTTTTCGAGTACTAAAGATGATCATCTCGTAAACTTTGCCCCTGCAGTTGTAGAGGTAACACACGAGCCTTACTGCCCTCATTAGTAGGAGCAGAAAACTTGTTTCTCTGGTCCCTGGAAGAGAAAGGGTTAAGCGATTAAATAATTCTTTGTTCTAGTCCTTTCTTGGTGTCATTTTGTTTGGGGGATTGTTCTGGCTTTGTTCTACCTTCCTCCTCAGTGGGTGGGTGGAGGGTGGCCTGGTTGGGGCTGGGTCTGTGCTTTGTGGAGAACAGAGACTCCAAAAACTCGAGTGGAAAGGGGGCTGGGGAGCCCAAAATGTGGTTTATAAGCTGTGGTTGCCACTGAGTTAGTGCTGAGTTAGTTTATCCAGGTTTGGGAACTCATCTGTCAGTGGAGTGAGGGTCCAACACCGTTCAGACCCAGAGATGATCCTTTGCCAAAGGATCTCACAAACTCACTTTCTCCTCTGGGCTCCTGCTGCAAAACTTCCAAATACTTCCCTGCCCTCCAAGCTGCAGCCCTTAAGGAAGAGTTGGAAAACCAGTCTGCTGTTTTGAGAATCCATTTGAACTCTTTAAAAAATTCCCGTTGGACACCTTTCAGCTGAAGGCCTTTTGAGGCCTCTTCATTTCAAATCCTGTCTGATATAAATTATTGCTTGAAAAGGCAGCTCTGCTCTAACAAAGCAATGAGCATCCATAGCTGGAATTGGCAATCAGCTAATTGGGTCAGCTCTTGGAGTGAGTGGTTGGAAGCTGAGTGCTTGAATCATGGGTGGAAATGGGTAGAAGGACCTAGAAAATGAGTTTTATTTGTAATTTTGGTGAGGGGATTGGGTTGAGAAGGGAGAGGAGTGACATAGTCTGGGGTGTGGGGGGAGGAACATTCACAGCCTGACTGACAAATTCATTTTTCTCTGATGGAACTGTTGCAGTGCCAGGAACAAATGTGCAAAGGGCTCAAGATGGCTCCTGTCTCTGAGCAAAATGGGAGCAGGATGTTGGGAATCTGCCTGCTGTGGGTGCAGGGGGGAGTTCAGTCCTTGGAATTTTTTCAGGCCTTGCTGCTGCAGGAGATGAGACTGATGGGGACCTTCTCTGGGGCTGGCACAGAGAGGAGGTGGGTCTTGTCCTGGATTTCATAGCTGAGAAATCATAGTGAGCAGCACTTGGCTCCGTGAGCGCTTCCACTTGTCCCTGAGAAACTGGTGGCTTTTCCTTTAAGCATGAAAGTTGCCCTGTGGACCAGCTGTGTCAGTTGGAGAGGGAGAGAGAGAGGAGGAAATGCAGCTTCCAAGTGACAAGGAAAGAGAAAAGACCCGAAGGTCAGAGCTGAGGGGTGAGGTGGCTCAGGGCCACGCAGTTGGGGTGGGTGGCTGAGCTGCGTCTGTTCCTGAGCAGCACCATCATCAATAGAGCCCAGAGTGACGTTTCTGGTTCATGCTGAGCCATTAGAGCCTGTCAGAGATTGCAGCAGGCACAGACCAGAGGAGGGGAACAACAAAAATGCAGAGCAACCCAGCCCAGCCTCACCTCCGGGGCGGGGGAAGGACACCGGGCTCCGTGTCCTCCATCAGCCCGTGGTGCCTCGGTGACATTTCCAGTCGGCTCCTGCTGCCGCCTCAGCTGTCAATGTCAGGAGGGGGAGGGGATCTCCTCCTGGAGTGGTTTGGTTCTGGCAGTCCCTCTAATGTTCGAGCTGTCACAACAGGGAAGGTTCCCAAGGAAGCGCTGCTGAACAGGAGCTGGCTGGGCGCCCGCTCCTTCCAGGCTCTGCCATGAGCTGGGCTGGGAAGGGGCTCCAGCTGCTCCCATGGTGGTGTGTGCTTGGACAAACTGGTCCATCCTCTCCTCTCAGGAAGGCTCTGGATCACCAGGGTACGAGTAACACCCTGGCACCTGCAGTGAGCAGGGAAATGTCCTCCTTGTCCTGAGGATGTTTTGGCTGAGGGGAGGTAGAGCTGCTTCCTCACTGACAACAGCAGAGAGGAGCCATCAGGGGCAAGTCCCTGGCAAAACCTTTTGTTTCTCCTCCAACGAGAGCTTGCACAAACAATGATGGCACCATTCCTGCTCTGCACATCGATCCAGTGCTGTAGTCAGGCAAGAGAGCTGCAATAAAACCCTGGCCTTTAATTTTATGCATGGAGAACTTCTTACCTGCTCTCCCCTCCCTGTCCTCTCCCCCCTGCCCCCCCTGCAGTTCCTGTTCCAACTGCAGCTATTTTTCCCTGCTGACTTCAGGTGTTTTGTATTCTGCTTAGATCAATAGCAGCACAACAGCAGCAGCTTTCCAGTTGTCACTAGGAAGACCCTGCTGTCAGCTCCAGCTCATCCGTGCGGTGCTGGAGCTGGAGAGCCCTTGTGCTTCCCTGACAAACACAAAGAGATGTGCAATACACCAGTGCTCTATTGATTTTTTTTTTGTTTTGTTTTAATTATTTTTTTTTTTTTAATCCAGCCTGGGGAAAGCTGTGTTCTTCCCGAGCTTCAGCAGCTGGATTTGTCTTCCTGCACTTGGTTTGAGAGGGAATAAACTGTCTGAACAGCCCCTTGCCCGCGCGGGAGGTGGCACTGTGGGGACGTGTCCTGCTGAGGCTGTCAGTGATGTCCCTGCTGCGTGGCTTTGCCAAGGAGCTGGTCCCTGGTGATATGCTGCTTAGCAGCCTCAGAGCCACGAGCAGGAAGAGCAAATCCATTGCCTAATCCGACAAACATGCCAGGACCACATTAGCTGATGTGAACATTGGCCCCTATTCATGGATTTTTCACAATCTCTGATGTTTATGGTGGCCGGGAGCAAACCAATGCCAGCGGTTGTTTTTTTTTCCTTTGTTGAACAAAAAGTGTTCACTGAAACACAACCTCTGTGTGCATCTTCCATCCCAAGTGATAAATTGGAATCACAAATTGTTTAGGGTTGAAAAGGACCTTAAAGCCCATCTTGTTCCACTCCCCTGTCGTGGGCAGGGACACCTTCCACTAGCCCAGGTTGCTCCAAGCCCTGTCCAACCTGGCCTGGGACACTTCCAGGGATGAGGCAGCCACAGCTTCTCTGGGAAACCTGTGCCAGGGCCTCACCACCCTCAGAGTTAAAAATTTCTTCCTGATACCTAACCTAAATTTCCCTTCTTTCAATTTGTACCCACTGCTCCTTGTCCTAAAATAGGAAGTGTCTGTCAGAAAGCAAAGCACCAGCCATGGCTTAGCTCTCAAGAGTGTTTGATTTTGTCAGCTTTCTCTCTTTTGGAGACTGTTTTGTGAATTCCTTTATGTCAGATCCCGAGGAGCACAGTCTGAGGCTCTTGATCAGCTCCTGGCACAGTGACAGGGCACACAGAGACAGTGCCCACGCTGCAGCTCGATGTGAGCACCAGATGGACAACTCTGTGTCCATCCCAATGCCCTCAAAGCAGCTTCCACAGGATCACAGAATAGTCAGGGTTGGAAGGGACCTCTGGAGACCACCCAGTCCAAACCCCCTGCTATGGCAGGGTCACCTGGAGCAGGTGACACAGGAATGTGTCCAGGTAGGTTTGGAATGTGTCCAGAGAAGGAGACTCCACACCCTCCCTGGGCAGCTGTTCCAGGGCTCTGCCACCCTCCTGCTGAGGTGGAACTTTTATGTTTTAGTTTATGGCCATTGCTCCTTGTCCTGTTGCTGGGCACCACTGAACAGAGTCTGGCACCATCCTCTTGACACCCGCCTTGGAAATATTTACCTCTTAGGCTATCCTAAACCATGGTCTAGACTAGGAAATCAGGTGGGATGTTAGATGAAGTCTTGAGGGCTCGGTAGAGGCGAGGAACTGTGTAAATGTAGTGTTTAGGGCATTACTGAGGTACTTGTGTTGAAGACTGAGTGCCCAGGAGGAATTGGTGTGGCTCGAGGTGGGGAGGCCACCTCAACATGAGACCTTAGTAATTTCTGCTGCCACAGTGGCCCCTGGAAATGGGAGGACACCAAATGGTGTCCCCTCTGACATGGGCAGAGGTTTCCCATTTCCTGGGCTTTCCCCCTGGAAGCTTTGCTAATCTCAAACTCGTGGGTTTGTAAGTGCTCTTCTGTCCCAGAACAGAGAATATCGATGGAGGTGAAAGGCTGGGCTCAGCTTAACAATTGGGAAAAGTCAGGTAAGGGAAAGCAGGACACAAAGTAGGGAGAAGACTTTGTTGGAGGAGAGAAATGTCAGTAAAAAGTGGGAGGTGTAAGTTTGTGATGACTGTTGGGAACAGGGTTTGTTAATCCCAAAGCCTCTGCGCTGGAGCTGCCTGGAGAGGAGCCCAGCCACGTGCAGGAAGGGGCAAAGACTGTTTATTTTTATTCCCAAACCCCTAGGCACGGTGCAGTGTGACACCAACAAATGTCCTGGAGAGCTCTGGCCACTCCATGCCCTCGACAGGAAAACACGGCTCAGGGTCTCCGTGTGAGGAGGAAATGAGCAGCTTCCAAGGAAAGTGTGGAGAGGAGAGCAGGGGCTGGATGCTGGACGCTCTCCTGCACCCCTGGGGCAGAACATCCCCATCCTGTGCTTCCCATGGGTCTCGCTCTGTGTTCTGAGTGTGTTGTGGTGGGTGGAAATCCGGAATAAACGCATTTCTTCAGCTTCCTCGTGTAGTTTGGATTAAACTTCCTAATAAAGCAATTGTTATTTTTCTAACCCGATTCTCCCTCTGTAAATGCTGTTGCTCCCCGGGCTGTACCTCCCCCTCCTCCCCTCTCCCAGGGGTCTCCATGTGATGGTCATTCCTGCTCCTGCGCTTCCCTGAGGGGGTTTCACCTGGGGGGGCTCTTCCAGATCCTGCCCTGGGAAGGGCGACAGGGAGGAGGTCGCTGGATCCACACAAGGTGGGTGTGAGAGGTGAAGGGACCTGCTGGGAGGGGCTGTCCCGGGGCAGGGACACAAACCTCGCTCCCTTCTGGCAGGGGGCTGGGGGTGCTGGCCCAGAAAGGGGGTCCCAGCCCGGATTTGGGGTCCAGGACTGGGACAAGGGTCCAGGACCAGGGCTGGGGGTGCTGGGCCACGAGAGGGGGGGTCCAGGACCAGGTTGGGGGTCCACTACCGGGGCTGGGGGTGTTGGTCCCGTAGCAAGGGTCCAAACCCGGGTTTAGGGTCTGGTCCTGGGGCTGGGGTCCAGAACTGGAGTGGGGGTT